ACAACTGATAAACCCTGGGATGAAATGTAGCAAAAGCCATTCCTATCCGCTCCGCGTTTCTGTCGGGATATTCAGAGGAGCAGAAAATGTAAGTGGGTGATTTAAATGATCTGCAGTTAATTTAACTCCTTAGTTAATCCATGGACCACAAATCTTCAATTACAGGAACAAACTCTTCCACTCATGGGAGAAAAGTGAATGACGTGGGTGGAACTGAGACTGGATTGAGTATAGCCTGATCAGGCGTATGTGTGACTTGGGTTTGAGGGCAACAGTCCTGAGGTTAGTTCTCATCATAAAAAATACCAGGCAGTTCGGCAAGATGATCTGTCCCCTGCGCAGGTCTAGAGTTGTGCTGCAGAGCAGAGCAGAGCGGAAAGGGGCAGAGCAGAGGGCAGTTGCACATCAGGACTGAGAGTTGTGTGTCCAAGATCATCACCCTCCAGCTGCATTGTTTGGACTGGACTAGCAGGGGTGTGGCAGGCCATGGAGGATGGCTGATGCCTTGACACAGAGCTGTGTTGATGGTGCCCGCTGGATGCTAGGGAAATGGTGGAATTTGTGGGCCCCTTCTGTCAGTGGGCATGCTGGCAGGGTGGGATTCAGTAGTATGGAAAACGGAAGTAGTATAAGGGCCCTACCATCAATCAAACCCTAACCACCTGTCACCTGAAGTCCCACCCATGGGGGGGGGTATTACTTCTGGCGTCAAGGTGGACACATGACCGGAAGCAAAGTGTGTCATGTGACCCCTCTAAGAACTCCTCCCACCGCCCTCTACCAATCGTGATGGGTTTCGGCTGCATAGGCCCGCCCCGAGAGCAGATTTGACCAAGCAGGGGTGTTCCGGGGGGCGGTGACCTGCCCAGAAGAGGGTCATGTGACCCCTCTAAAAACTCCTCCCAGCGCCCTCTGCCAATCAGAGTGCAGCACCATCACCCCATAAGTCCCAGCACCGGGGCAGAAGAGGCCATCTTTTACCAAGAACGTGTGCTTTAGAAATCGTGGAAACATGGACTCCTTCACCACCCTCGTGAGAACTTCGGACTTTGTTTTAGCCCTGAGGGCCTTTGACCATCCGCGGAGAAAGCGCTATATCAGCGACAGTTCCCAGGAGGAGGAGGGAGCGACCAAGGGGAGCCCTTTGGTCCAGCCGTTGATGGATGCGCCGGAACCCGAAACCCAACTGCTTGTGAGACACCCCGATGAGCGTGGTGGCCTCTTGTCGTCCACTCCCATGGAGGAGGAAGGTGAACACAGCTCGGGGGAGTCACCGGGAGGACAAGGTGGACGGAAAAGACGTCGCTCAGGTAAATGAGTGATTAAGAAGTGACGGTTGATGATGGGGTATAATGGGGTTAGGAACCAGCGGGTTGTGTAAATCTAAAAACAAGCAGTGGGGTGCTTACTTTCTTTTCTGAACATCTCTCGACAGCTTGACAATGTCTTTCTAGAGGCCTTTGAGAAGTTACACATCGGTACCCCCGTGGGAGTAAATAGACATAAGCAAAAACAGCTGATGCATGATATGAGACACAGATATCAAGACGAAAATCTGGAAAAGGACAAAGTGGAAGAATGAACCAGCTCAGACTCCCTTATGGAGTCCATTTTTACAGGCGGCTGTAAAAGGTCGTGTTAAACCAGGCGATTAATAAAACGTATTTATTTAAATGTGTCAATATGAATGTGTCCCCTTTCATATTTGTGTTAGTAAAAGACGGTACCAGTAAGAGTCATGTCTACACAGGCAGCTCTGTTAAAGAAAATCTATTACACCCCCAGGGAAGTTGGGAGTTTGAGCGCTATTTCTGAGATGGCCGCTACTAAATTGTCAGAGGCCGAACATAGTCTAGCCCTCCTTTGCTGCGGGGACGATTTGCTAAGTAATTTTAAAAGGACCAGGTTTCTCTTTACACAGCTAGACATGTTTTCGGTCAGCAACCCCAGCTGTTACAAGCAGTTCTTTATACAGAGGTTGCCAACAACTGTAACACCACACAATATTCTCAAGCATAACAGACAGTGTTTGTTTGCCATTATCCAACACATTTTTTATAAAGTAACTTTTCCCGCAGTTGCTAGGCCCTGCGAGAATTGCAGAAAAGGGGTGTTTCCACCTCGTATCCATTTTTAAAAGCCGTAGGGCAGGGTTTTAAACCCTTCTCCTAGGACCCTCTTGTTGTAAACGACTTTCAAGTGAGTTTAGGACCCTGCAGTGGTGAGCAGCAGCTGGGCGGGGGGGTTGGGAATCCCAGTGGGGCCTGATTCTGGCAGTTAGGTGCCTAAAGCAGCAGTTAGACACTTAAGCCCTTTGGTGAATCTGGCCCCAAGAGGTACCCTGAGTGATCAGTTCTAGGCACATCTTTTCCTTCAGTAACTGTCTAACGATGAAGTACGCATCGTAACCTTTGGAACTGTGCGCTAGGAACGTGTAGTCCCGGAACTCTTTGCCAATAAAGGTCTCAACAAACATAGAAAGACACTCGTCGCCCGTAAATGCCCAGGATTTTTCCGGCTTTAGGGACATAACAAAAATGTAATTGGGCGTGTGCAACCCAGTCTCCTGCGTGCATTCAAAATCATAAAAAAAGCTACTTTTCTGATGATTCGGGCTTTCTAAGGCTGTCCATAAAACAGGTGACTGTCTACATCACCAGCGATCAAACCCCGACACTGCTTACAGCGCCTCCCTTTACACCTGTGCCGCTTGTCCACGTAAGACTGACACTTATCACACAAAGTTTTAGACAGGCATTCGACTTGTTTTTTCGATGCACAGTCGACGTGTCCATCTAAACACTCTTTGGATCGACAATACAGTCTACAGCTAGGACACCGCAGCTGCACGCCCATGCTGTCCAAGCATGTTACGCTCAAACAGAGGCGGCAACGATACCTGCAAGAGTGGTCGTGGCTGTACGCCATGTGGCAAAACTCACAATCATTTGTCACACCGAACAACTTTTTCACATCCAGAACCCCATAGTAATGCTCATCGTGCAACAGGATGAAAAAAGTCTTGGGGTACACTGGGCCCCCCGTTTTAAAAAAGCCCCAGCCGCCTTTCGCCGCATACAGCACCACCCTGTATATTGACTCCTAAATGCTGTTCAAACGTTGCTACGTCACTGAGCAGAACCTTTTTTTGATCTGACCCCCCCAGTTTCTCCTGCAACTTTCTCGCCCCCCCGCTAACAATTCCGCGTCCGTAGGTTGACGATCGGACACAAGAGCCCACCCGCAAAACACAGATTGGTACCGGTGTAAATCAGGTCTACCGAGCATTGTCTCTTTTTATGGAGGATTTGACTGCCACGGATAGAATGTAAAACTCTACGAGCGCCCCCACCCCTGTTTTTTACGACTGTCACAACAAGGCGCAACGTCCCATCGAGATGCAACTCTCTATTGCTTTGTAGCAGCTTTCAGGCCTGAGCTAAGAAATCCTCAGCAGACAGCTCATCCCTAGTTCTTCTGACTGAAAACAAAGGGTTAGTTAAATTTCAGCTCTCTAAACGTAACTGAACATAATCCTCAGGGCCTACCCTCCCATTAACGTCATCCAGAACTAACTGTATTCCCCGGTCGGTGTATGGCTTCAACAACCTGCTGAGCTGAATTTATTCCCTCAGGATTGACAAAACGAAATTCCTCACAATACACCGACCCCCCAAATCTAGGTAATTCACGTTGCCAACTTCTCACTCTCTCCATATACACCTCGGCATTTTCAGGGTTACTCGGGGGTTCCTCTACGGGACCGTCAGCGGCATCTTCTACAGCAGATGCTATTTGAGAGTCAGACTCCGAGGGGCCTCCGTGAGGGTCATCAGGAGGAGACGGGGACCTTCCAGAGAGCCCTCTGGGGAATTTTCTAAACCAGACTCTGCGTGAGAGTCGGGTTCCACCTCCCATTTTCAGACAAGTCAGTTTGAGAGCCTCCAGTAGGGGGCATCTCTTTTTGTTTTCCTTTTTCCTCATTACCTCTTTAGCCTTTTTTAAAATGTTTACTGAGACCCTGGTCTGGAACTTTTTGGCCACCATTTGTTTGTCCACCATGTGGAAGAACTGTGTTTTTCTCCGACAACCAAGAGCTGTCCCCCCTTTTGTTTACACCTGAGCTGATGTGTACCCTTGAGGGTGCCCTTTTTACCCAGGGCCCTTTCCACGGCTAGTCACGCCTGCTCAGAGCCCCCTTTGGAAAAATTGAAGCATTTTTCAAAAAGTCACCCGCCAGAGCTTTTGCATTTTTGACGTGGTTTCCAGCTCTCCTTTCTTTTAGACCCCCTGAGGATATAGCAGCCATCAGTATTCTGAACAAAGCCTCATATTTTCCCCAAATCTTCATCAGTTTTCTGAATGAAGCATCATACTTTCCCCAAATACTAGAATATGGGGGAGCTGTGACAAGCTTATGGTGTTGGGAGAATGGTTTGTCAGTCCTTGGTTTTTTTATTCACAACCCCTAGAGTGCGTATTCCGGGTTTGTGAATGTGTGTGTTTTTGCGCGTATTCCGGGTTTGTGAATGTGTGTGTTTTTGCGTGTATTCCGGGTTTGTGAATGTGTGCGTTTTTGCGTGTATTCCAGGTTTGTGAATGTGTGCGTTTTTGCGCGTATTCCGGGTTTGTGAATGTGTGTGTTTTTGCGCGTATTCCGGGTTTGTGAATGTGTGTGTTTTTGCGCGTATTCCGGGTTTGTGAATGTGTGTGTTTTTGCTCACGTTCACAACCCCTAGAACGTGTGCTCTGGGTTTGTGAATGTGAGCGTTTTTGCTCAGTTTTCTCAGGGCTTGGTGTGGTGGTGGCCGCTGAGGAACTGGAGTTGTGTTTGCGTGGTTGGTCTTTACCAGAGTCTTTTGTTTTGTCCTTGGGTTTGACGTATATGAGGTTTGGGCTGCCCTGATGCTTCATCTGCACTCTCGTGCTCAGGGCCGGCGCAACCCATTAGGCGACCTAAGCGGTCACCTAGGGCACTACAATTTGGGGGGCGGCGACCGCGGCGGCGGTATTTCAGCTGTGGGACCTTCTGCCGCCTCTGTGGGGGGGCGGCATTTCGGGGCAGGACCTTCTGCCACCTAGGGCGGCAGAAAAGCTGGCGGAGCTCCTCCTTGTGCTGTTTTGTGTTAGCGTTGTTAAAGGTCTCAAAGCAGATTCCTGGTTCTTTGGCGGTTCTGGTGGAGGTGTCCCTGTAGCTCCGACTACAGCATTGTCAGGAAAGCTGCCCGTGCCTCTGAGGGGGAAGAAAAAACATTTTACGAAACTGAACTTTACCATCTTTCTCACCCACACCTATGGATTTCCTTAAAATACAAAACCTCATGAAACAACCAAACAAATAAGCAAAATATATTTACTGGGCTTCATCCATCCATCAGTCATTGATGCTGGTGAATTTTCCTTTTCAGCCGTCTCTTTCCTTTTTCTTTTGAGCTTGTTTACCCACTCATGTTTTGACCGTACTGCGAAGCAAACAACATTATAATAAAACACATGAAACTGTCTTGTAAACTTAAAAAAATTAAATATTCGTTTCAGGTGTTTTTCTATTTGAAAAGTCACAGCTTTAAGACAAAATAATCCATTTCAGGCTGTACAACAACCACAGGTTTTGAGTTTCTTTCTACCCCTTTAAAAAACAAACCCACAAACATTTTTTAAAAAGCCGTCTCATTTTGCAAAATAAAAACCAAACGGCTTTCAAAATCCATTTGAAAACACATTTTGCACAAAACCCCTTGTTAGTTTAAAACACACCAAACCAGGTTTGCAACCAAATACTTTTAAAAACTCACCTATGTTTTACACAAACTCAGACACACACACACTCCAGCAGTTTAAAAACACCGAGAGTTTGCAGTCAAATACTTTTCAATAAACCCACATGCATTTAAAAGACACAAGGTTGTTCTGTCCGTCCTGTCCCCCCCCCAATGTGTGTTTGGGCCTTCAGGTTAAAGAACAAGCAAAAATGTTAAGTTAGGATTACCCCCAAATCCCTATAAAACCTG